AAAATACAACATTTAGTCTATTTGCAAGAAGGAATGACGTCTTCAGCTTCAGCATATGGTCAAGAATAAAAATATTTTTAAGTAAAAGCAGTATTTATTTTGGAACTATCTAAAATTCTAAATTAAAGATGTACCGTGAGATCAAAAATTATCTTGGTCAAGGGTGGTCATGGATTTTAAAGTAATTGTAGAGGTTATGTCGACGCTGTCAGTGAGTCAAACATTGACAGAATTATTTCAAAAAGATGATAGAAGCAACGACAGATGTTTTCCATTCCATGACCACCCTTGACCAAGATAATTTTTGATCTCACAGTAGTATTTAAATTTACCCAAAAGAGTGCTAATTTTAGAGATCTTACCACAATAATTTGACAATTTTTCAAATTGCTGTACTACCCAGTTTTATGCACTCTTAAATATTTTTTTAAATATTTTTTTGTTGTTATTATTCTACATTTTAGAAAGTTTATATTTATTATATATCTAATTATATGTATTAATATTTTGCAAATTTTAGAAAATATAACCCATTTAAACAATACCTGCTATTGTTATTAAGTGTTATGTACAACTGTAACATAAATCATATCTATTCACTAATTTTTCAATTTTTTATTTCAACATAAAGTGTGTGTTTTAAATGCACTGTATCAAATGCAACATACGAGTATGTGGTTCAAAATTGGCATTAAAATTGTTTTTTTAAAAAAGGATATAACTAATACATGGTCGTGAACAACATTTCTGACTGGGACTTTTCCAAAAAACTTTTGTTATGATTTTGTTTTGGAGATTCCAATAATAATATATTCCAATTTATCCGAAAATTAGTTTCTCAGGGGGGAACGAGAATTTAATAGGCTGAGATTTTTTAAACTATTAAACTCGTGTTGACAAGATTTTTTGTAACACTAATATTGAATAGGAAATTTTGCTAAATTCAGAAATTATTATAAATAAATGTGTCAAAATTGATAAAAAAAATATGCATCAGCTTATTTTATAGACTGATAAGATACGTTGCTATTGACGACGTACTTTATAGATGAATCGTATATTAACGGCAATATAACAAGCAAGCTTGTTAAGAAACAGTTTAAGGTATTAGTGTTGAAAAAAAGCATTTTACGTAGTTTCATTCCGTTTAGTATCAGAGAACCTAGACGTAAATGCTAAATTTCGTAAACAAATAACTCGAACACTTCTAAATACAAAATTCTAATTGACGGCAACTTTGTTAGCGAATATCTCGATAACTATTTGGAATATAATGAATTTCAGTCTCACAAGAAGTTTTCTCAAATATAATCATGCAAATTGTATCTTCTAAAAGTTCTAACTTTAAAAATCAAGGAGCTGCAGCTTTGTTTATTTATGTTTTACGAAATGTGATATGTGTGATAGTAATGTTTGCTTTCGTTATTTATAATAAAAAATTGAACAAACTTTTCACATTTGACATCTTTCATGCAATTCTATTTAGAAATGATTAATTTTCCAAGTAATTTCCATTCTGAAATAAATTTTTGGGGTGAGCTCAGGATTGTAGGAAGATAAGAGATTTTTTATTACTTACTTTTTCCTCTACTTATTTTAAATAATGATATCGTATCAGTTACATTACAAATCCACGATATTTACATTGATATCTACGTTAGTGCCTTATTGATTAGATGATAGCGCTTATAATCTAATCAAACATGATTGGTTTGGTTCAAGTTACATCTAGCTTATTAATGTATTAATGTTATTTATTGTCCATTAATTTCAACAATGTTCAAGTTGTTTAAAGTCGGTAAGTAAATTTGACTGTTTATTATTTATTCCTATATTCTTTCTGGTGGGGCCTTAAAAAACATGACTAAATAAAATTACTTACATCACAACAAACATGGCGTCTTAGTTTTGCTAAACTTTTATTGTGCTGTACACTTTATTTTACTTTTTATCTTGGTTTCATATATATTAACTCGAAAATTACTCACTCGGGGTTCAGCTATTTAAACTGTTCATGCTTCCTTTGGGAATCGCAAGTGTTCCGGGATGTTGTGTAAAATTAAGTGATGTCATAGTACAGCACTTGTAATCTTAAGTACTTCTAAGTCAAGCTAATAATATGAGGGGAAAATAATTGTACTACTCGTATTTTAAACAACAATTAAACCATAATAATGTTCGGCACATTTACTATAGGTGGAGAACTTTCACGCACAAATTGGTGAATGCGCCAGGTTTTTTATTAATGTGTAACGAATTGCTACTAAAAGTAATTTGTATCTGTAGCCAATTTAGTTGGAAACGATGAACCAAATCATAAATAGCAAAAATTTATTGAGGAACAATTTTATTTTTATTATGTTAAAAAATAAGAATAAACAAGCGCAGGAAGTGTTATTTGCAATACAAACTTTTTATACAATGTTAAATTGTAAACAAGTAAGGCTTGCGACACGTGTTTACGATAGTGGCACTTGAACAAGTTTACAAATATGGTTATAAGGTATCCAGAAAGGTAATAGATCTATGAGCAAATTAATAACTTGAATAACGCCAGCCGATACATTTCAAAAGAAAAGTTTTCTCTTTGTAAGTGTGTAACATACTTAACAATGTCGAAATTTGTAACTTAAATAAAAAGTTTCATAGGCATTTTTAAAGAAATAATTTTTGCCAGCTATTCGTTTGAAAAAAATCTCTCAAAGCATAGGAAGTGTATAAATGTTTCTGCTACAATCAACGATGCCATTAAGCTTTAACTGTCCGTTTTAATTTCTTAAGCCTGCAAAGCGGCTTTCTTCGATGTTATTTGTGCATGTCCTTGGCTTCATTAAAGTTTGATGAAAATATTTTTATATTTAGTCTATCACAACTAAAATTACTTCTTTTCCTTTTCAAATCAAGCCTTTTAAAGAATTTATGAAACTTTGTCTATTTTGGGTAAGTCTTTGGTGATAATAAATAATAAGGTGGTATGTAGCAGTGGTTGGATAGTCTCCAAAAAGACAAAATAAGCAGAATGTAGTAAGTTTAATTATGAAGTTTATTAATGAAATGGTTTAAAATTAGCCATTTTACGTATAGATCCGACGTCAAATATCGTGGACGTAAAAGCTCACAATCACGTAATTTATACATAAATCATAAACTCACATTCGATGTGTTTCAAGAACCACAAGCGACATCTTTAATAAAAGATGATAACAAATGATTACCAGTAAGTTGTTTCCTGTAAATCAGTGGATTAAAGAAATTGCATAACTCTTTTGTCATTGCTTTCTGTAGTTATACTTTAGGAAAGTTAATTATTAAAATAATAGCTTAACATTTGTTTGCATATACTAGATATTTAAATTATTTTTACTCAGGTTAGCACTGCTTTTGATAGTACAATCAAGATTTAATTTTTTCGTACAAAATACATAACTTTGGTTTATGTTTGTTTTGTCAGTCTAAAAAATGTAATTATAAATTTAGGAAACGAACTTTTTTGAAAATATCTAACAATGGATTTTTTTATAATTGGACAGATGACGTTGCAATTAATGACTTAATTGAATTAATGAATTAATTTCTCAATGTTATGATGGCTTTGTTGATAAAAGCTCTGATAAGATGAATAAGACAAAATCCACCGATCTGGCACGCTGATTTGGCCGTGGCAATTCCCCCCAGTTGTTTCGCCAACTTTGATGCCACTTCTAGGACACACAAGTTAGTTACAGTTTGAATGTTATACATAAGTGCACTTGACTTAAATTCTGTGGGATTTACACACATTGATT